TCCCCTTCGGTAGTAAGCTCGGCATAGTTCACAGCCTGCTACTTTATTTTCCTAGTTTGTTCTTCATGATATAGAACTATTAGCCAAAATAGTCCTGGCTCAGTCTTTCAGGAGGATGATCTTAGTCCTTCAGGAACATGAAAGAAATCTCCACTAAAAAGCATCTTCAAAAAAAACCCCTTAAGATCATGAGTTCAGAAGGTCTGCTTAAATTACGGTAGGCAAAAAAAAAAAATATTACAGGTATAATGTAACATTTTTATAACAACAAACTACTTTCTCTGCAGTCGATCAATTTGTCAGAGGCTCTTATGCATTTTGTGGCACACAAGGACTCCCTGAAGTCAGCCAAGGAAAGCTCGCTCGCCCCACGTGCCTTAGCCTCGACCTCTACAGCAGTTCTTCCTTGGGTGTACCTAGCGCTCCAGAAAGTCAGAGGCTCTTACTTTCAAAGGCAAGATCAGCTTAGTTTAGGAATAGCTTGTCCAACTACACACTTGAGCCTTTGTTAGTAATAAAAACAAACAAAAATGCACTCCGGAGCAGTTACTAGGAACTAGCTATTCAGCCACAAGCCTTGCACTGAAATTATGGGAAAGTATTAAGTTTCATTATGAATTTGAACACCACTTTCCCTGCTGAAAGCCAAACTTCAGTTCTTGCATTTAACTCCTCATAGTTTTCAGTCATCACCTCCTAAAAATACATCAATTTTCACATTAATGAGGATTTACATGAGGCTGTTGCTATACCTGCGATCTAGTATTAAATTCAAGGGCTAGCACTTTTTGAACTGTAACACTGAAATTGTATAGTTTGGTTTCCTCTGAAATATTGGCTTGGACCAAAATAAAAAGGTAGTCTTTCCTCACATTTTTCTAGAAGAAAAATGAAACAGACCATTTTCAACATGGTAACAAAGTTGTCCAGCTTGAGAAGCTATATAACCCTTACCTACATCGAAGCTCATTTCACAGCAATCTGATTACTGAAACAAAGCTTTCACCTTTCAGACACAATTGTGTAGTGAGAAGAGATCAAGGCTTAGCTATCGACTTGAGCTACTCACTGAATATTTTAGACAGGAGGGCATAGTACATAGCTCATAGGTTCAAATAAACAGCCAGATGGTTTTCTTCATCAATATCCATGTTAAGCTCCCCGCTCTGCACAGTGGGTAAATAAGTCAAGTATTTTAAAAACAGGTTCTATGCTTGCAGAAAAGTACGGTGCATCATTCTGCTTTTGCTGGGGTAATTGCCAGTACTGGAAACAAAGTTCTGTGTACCAGGAACCTCAATGCATTTCTGCTTTTGCAAGTAGGGCAAGATGCTATTTCAACACACTTCTGTGTACCATTGTCGATAAATAGGTAGAGTAATTATCTGGTAGCTGAAAAAAAAAAATTAAAAAAATCATGCATCATAACAAGTCTGCTCCTCAGCTTATTTGGTTTGCCAGCCATTGATTCATTTTCATTAGATTTTTAATTACCATTGGTGAGATTTCATTTCTGAGAACGAGCATACATTTAGCATTTTAATTAGAGGTTGATTTGCTGGCTATTTGAAACAATAAGCCAAGTTCTTAAAATAAAGATCTCATTGTTCTAGCCTTAGTTATTAAGCTCCCTCCTTTGTTACTAATACCTGAGTGCCTAGTTTGGAGAGGTATTTATTCCTTAAACTAAAGTCATCAGCTTTTGGCCGTAATTTAGCCAAGTCATCTTCATTTTGACGTCTGAGTCTCTCTTGTTCTTCTGCTCTGGAAAAGAAAATTGGTTTAAGATATTCGCACTGAGGAGTGCAAACCCAAGCACCTTTATCTTGTGTATGCAGTTTTGTTTTTAATAACTAGAAAAAGCTCATAATGGTTATAGATGAATACTGGATATCAGATCAAAAGAGATTAAGACTGTGTATGGATTACTCTAATTCAGTGTAAAGAAAGAGAGAGGCTGTTGTCTGCAGTTTCCTTTTATTTAGATTGAAAGACTTCGGCAGAAAGATAAACCTTTTGGTTTTCACAGATTACACCATGCTCAGTGAGCTTTTGTAACAGTTTTTACTACCTCTTTATTAAACAAGCTTTCACTCCTTAAAATAAAGATTACAGTACAAAAAGAATCAATTGTCAAAAATGCAAATAAAAGACTGCTCAGCAGTCTCCAGAATTAATAGCAGCCTCCCACAAAAGAGTCAATATGTGACCAGAGCATTGTCCCTCTTTTTCCATGTAAGTCTTAAAGAGAAACAGAACCAAAGCTCTAAATACGCTGAGCTTAAGACAGTGTTTTGCATTAAGACAGTGACAAAGGCAGTAACAGTGACCCGTTTCTAAGCTCTGTAAGGCAATGAGCCTTATTACAGAACATAAAATGCCATTACATTAAGAAATCTCCACCAAGATGGTAGTGCTGCACATAAAAGACACTTTATACTAGTCTTTATGAGCATGTTTGTCTTGGGTTGCCTAGTACCCTCTTCAATGACAGAGCTTAAAGACAGTGCAAAATGCTATAAACCTATTCTGTTCAAATTAAGAGATGATTTGGCATTAGTTAAAAGTGGTTACAAAGCATAAAATTTAACCATTTACTGTAACCCCCTCCCAGCATGTTAGTATCTTTTCCAAAGAACTACTGTGCAGTGACCAAACTAATCAACACTATAATTCTTCAAGTTGACATGATGCTGATCAAACGCTCCCCACTTCTGGATGATATTTGCTATTCAAATTTCTTTTCTGAAAAAAACATTGTAATAGAAATTACTGAAAATACTGCTCTAAGGCACTGTATCCCACAGTATACACTAATACACAGCCATCATTCACAGTAAATACTGGAAGTGTTACACACATCCCACATGAGCCAGGCAGATTGAAAAGCAGCTCTATTTGGACACAGAATTCCTTTGCTCCTGGGTACAAGGTTGGGGTTGTTTTCTTTTTTGTTGCATTTGTATTAAAAACTGGCTGTGACCTTTTGGCTCAAGCATGATACTCATCACAACTAATCTAGCATGCTCACCAGGTCTGGGTTTTTTTTCCAAGACTAACTTAAGTATCATCATATGGACAGTTACACAGTCCAGTTTTAGAGAAGTCCATTTATAAGAGATGTCTTGTTAGCAAAGTATTTATCTGGAACAAACTGTTCCAGATAAGCTGCGAGACACATAGTACCTGCAGATGAAATGTAGTTAGTAAAAAATTCCAACAACATTACAGGCAAACAAACTTCAAGATCTGAAGAAACTCACTGAGCTGCATTAGGTCAGAAAGCATTTCAAAAGAAAAATTTTGTGTTGTTCACATATAAGCTGATTGAATTCTACAGCTATTATTTTGAAAGCTGTAACTCACATATTGACTTACTCTTTCACACGACAAATGTTAAACTATGACTAGCATCATGAAACATGTATACCATGCCCTCTCCAACAGTTCTCAATCACAATCTCAAGCAAAAAAATGTTCAGATCGGAGGAGCAGAACCTCAGATTTCTTAGACTTGTACTACCCTTAAGCAAATTAAACATTTGCTTTAAATATATTTAAAAAAAAAAAATCAACAAATTAACCAAGTCTTCATCCGCATTGACATTACATTCTCCAATGCACACAGTTTTAATCTTCACAGCACTAATTAGAACTAGCAAAAGGTAACATAAGTTTTGGGTGCTGAGACACTACTACAAGAAGCATCTTCAACAAGGTCATTAGGACAAACTAAGCTACCCAAACTTGGTCTGATGGACAGACTACATTGTCTACTTAAAAAAAGTAATTTTTCTGGACAGTTAAGTAGGTAATAGAGAGGCTGGAGAGGAGGGTCTTTTGTTTTGCCTTTATGGTGACTTTGCCATACAATGCTTTTTCTCTCCTCTTCCCCCAATACTAGGCAAGCATTTTGAAAGTTATAAGCCTAATCCAGTGTTTGACTCCCTTGTATAGCATTCCACATCTGAGAGCTTTACTCTTCATTTAGCATTCTCGGGTAGCGAACAAAAAAGCAAGAAACTTTCTACTGCGCAGAGGGGACAAATTCGGTGCCCTAGAACATGGGAGATACCCCAACAGCAGGTGACTGACACCTTCATGTTTGATCAAACAATACTCAAAAAGCAAGAGCACCTGATTCCGCCTGCTAGGGCTATGCACAGCAATGGACCCTTAACATGTCACCAATGTTAAGAGAATTTAAGTTACTATTCCGAAGAGTGTCATTGTCCTTATCTTCTGTAGAGTGCAGTACATACAAGTCTCCCACAGAATGAAATTTGCTTAATTGGATGAACTCTCAAAAGTTGCTTATTTTGATGATTTCTGCCCTAAGCCCACCTCAAGTACTCCATTTCCTTTTAAAGGAAGCAGATTACACTTTATTGAAATACCCCTGTCTCATTTTCTTTCTAAAAATGGAAACTTTTCACTATAATCAATAACATTTATGACACAGATCTGGCCACAAACCGAGTTTCACATTAGTGCTGCAAATTAGACTGTTGAATTAAGACTTCTAAATAAGACAGCAAGAGGAGCAAGCTGACACTGAAGGGGAAGTGACTGAGTGCAGTTTCTTCTGAAGAGATATCCAGCTTTTAATGACACTAAAAAAATTGGTCCATGCATTACTCGACATTAAACCCAGGTAATGCTTGCTGCTGACTGGGTCAGGTATGCACCATATAAATGAAGCACATATTTAAATAAGCAAGACAACATTTTTTTTTAAACACACTTCAGTTCCACTCAGTTGGAAGGCCACCGAAAGAAAAACAGCAAGGAAGAGTGCCAGGAAAGGACACCTGGTTAATTGCTGCTTCCTCTAGTTATTCATTCACAGGAGGCAGGAATAACTACTAACTGGTAAGAAAGAAAGTAACATTCAATACAAATAGCAGACCTATAGAAGAGACTGACTTCAGACAGTAATCTACTTAACTACTTCAGGTTAAACATTTCATAAGGACACCATTCTTTATTGTTCTTTATACTTACTCAGTTGCAGCTGCTTTTTGCAGTTTTTCCCTTTTCTTTGCAGACCAGTTGAGATCACCACCTGCAACAGAAGTAATATACACTTTGAAACTTCTAAAATTGGTCCTTTTGTATTGTATCTTTGATACCATACCTCACTACAGAAGTTCTCAGAGCACTTGACAAATCAGTAGAGTAATTTTACAAAAGTAGAAGCTGAAGAGAAAGAACAATGTGTTCATAATCATCCAGGCAAGCAAAATCAGGACCCAGTCTAAGCTCTCAAGTGTGATCCAGTTGTCTGTTGAGTAACAATGAAGTTTCTCTACAACTCACCATAATACCCCATAAAACTACAGGAAGTGGAAGCAATTTGCAAAGAAACAAATTAATATCCCTTCCAGATCTTTCAGTAGTTACTGCTTCAAAACACAGTTGAGAAAGAACACTGCTATTTGAAGGAAAAATCTACAGAATGAAGTTTTTATATTTGCAGATACATACACACTTGATATGCAGTTTAGAAAAAGCTACAGAATATCCTACACATTTGCTCAAGTTAGCTGAACGGATAGGTACCATTGCCCTGCCGATGAGATTTAGGATCACAGCAAGGTTCAGGGAACTACACACTACAGCATCTACAAAGATGATGTTATAAGGACAGGCCTCATCAAGAGATGCTCCTGGTACCAAAGCCATGAGCTACAGCACCTGACACAGGACCATACCACACCACCTGCAAACAGTTCAGCTTCATAACTTCAAGAATTATAAAAACAAATATCAAGAGAAGCTGAAAACCCTTACTTACCTGTGAGATGATTCACAAAATACAGCATGACTACAGCTATTAGTGACACTAAAAAAAAAAAGGAAGAGTTTTAGCTGACAATAAATCTACAACGACAGAAGAACACCTTTAACATACAACCAAGCAACAATTAAGATTTTTTCATGATAATTATAATTGAGGAGAGATTTTTGCCAGCAGCATCTCTTAATTGCTTTTGAAAATTCCACTATACTCATAAGTAGCATGGTAATTCAGAAAAGGCTATTTTAGTTTTAGTTATATTAATAACAGCCATCATAAACGTAGCCTCTAAGAGTATCATGCACCTACCCTTTTACTCCATTTTTTTTCAAAACACTGAAACTACACTAAATCACTTCAACAAAACCACAAAACACTTCACTAGGTTTGAGTTACTCTCAACATTGCCCCAGTTGAAACCTCTAAGAAAAGAGTTATTACTGTTTTACAGGAAATCCTAAGAAAAAAGCCTAATAAAGCTTCCTGAATGTACAGAATCCATTTTCAATGTTTTTAATACTTACAGCAAACACAAGCACTGAAGAAGACTTCAAGAAACAAGTATCCTCTTGTGTCCAGAATCATCCCAGCTGCTATAGCAATAATTGCCAGACCAAGATTCTGGATAGACTGCATACTAACACAGAAACAAAGGATTACCACTGTGTAGAAATTTATTTTTAAAGAAAACATCATTAGTGGCACTGAAGAAACAATGAGGTTAACTTCTCTCCATTTGTTATAACGTATGACAGAGTCATGACTTCACATTTTTGCAGAAGTTTCTGCACATCTACCATAACCACGCATATACATCCTGAAACTACACAAGACTTCCTGCTAGACTAAACTTGGAGGAATTAAGTAACCATTAACATGTTAGAACCCGATTGATATTCAGTGGCTCAACAGTATCAGGACATGGGTACTGTAGAGCAGCACAAACAGATTTAAGTACTTACAAGCCATAAGCAGTTCCCAGCTGGTGTTCTGGAACAACAAAGGCCACCATGGGCCACAGAGCACAGGCAAGCAATGAGTAGGCCATTCCTAGCAAACACTGGTGAAGTAAGAACAAGTAAACAGATGTTGGATGAGATGCACTTTTGCTGTAAAGTTCTGATACATGAACATACTGGTTTTATCCTTCTCCCAAAAGAGAAAAAAAGAGCTAAAGTAACACTTTTTGCAATATCGGTCTAAATAAATATGCCCATTTAGAAGAAGAGAGAACTTTTTCCAGGAGTGGTCCACAAGCTAAACTATCTAATTAGCTTTAAGTATAGAGCCTGACTTGAATACCCAGAGAAAAAGACCAATGCTGCAACTCACTAGAAAAATATCTGAAAAACAAGGACCCTGTTTTTAAACCCTGATACACTGGTGAGCACCATATTTAAGCCTGTAAACCTTAGTTCAAAAGCAATTTCTCAGGGAATCTGCCCGAGGAAGGGGAAAATCAATAATGAAGATTTTTATTGAGGTTTCCCACTATCCAATGTGGCACATTAGAGACAGTTTAAGTAACAGTAATAAGCTTCAGAGCTACACCAAAAGAACAAGTTTTAGGAGAGAAGTGAGCACCTAGCACAGTAATCTAGTAACAGCTAGTGCAAGGAGTGTCCATGAAGCATGGGAGCAGACCTCTGCAACACAGTACCAAACCACAGATACTGTAATGAGCTGATGCCTTCTCTGAAGGGACAAGGAATTGCCACTCCATACAGCCCTCTGGTCCAATCCCATCCTTCCCAAGAAATTGAACACCCTTTTGCACTGAACATCTATAGAATTACTGCCACAGGCAGCAGCAGCCAGTCTGTTACACCTCCACACACACATGTATAAGTACTGCCTCCCTCCATGAAACACCAAAACTTTACGTTCAGTTTCACATAGTATATCCTTAAAAGTCAGGGATATCAAAATAGGTTTTGAGGACTACCTAAACAGTCACAAGATAGTGGCAACTTACAGAGAATAATTCAGCATTAACTCCATTTCTTATTTTATCATATTTAGTCATAAGTCTCAGAGATTTAGTTACCATTGCTATCCAGGGGTTCCAGAAGGTAAAAGCCAACATAATATGAGAAGCGAGCGTAGTTATTACAGCACATAAAACCCAGATGATATTCTTGCCAAGTTTATCCACCAGGATTCCAAAGACTGGGGACATGGGTGCCGATATGATATACACAATACTACAAAATAATAAAAATAAGAGAACTGAACACTATCCGGCCATGGACAGCTTTAGGTTTTACACAATACAAGCGTCTCCAGATAAAACACCATATTGCCTTGTTACCTGTGAGTAAAGAAAAACCACACAAAAAAACCCCGAAACAGACTCCAGAACTCAAAATTCCCAAAAGGTCTGAGGACATCAAAACACTCAACATCCAAGGAAACAGTGACATACTCAGAGCTCTCAGAATCATATAGCAGCAAGTGTTGGTTTTTATTTGTTTGGGGTTTTGGGTTTGTTTTTTTCATATCACAGATTCATCTTCAAACTATGAAAATTTAATTCATTTAGTGTTGCTGTTACACTGTTTCTATCACTCAGAAGAGAATCACTGAATACCAAAATAATACCCTTCAGACAGAACCTTTTCTTTCCACTTCCTCAATGTGAACATCTAATATATTTTTATTTAAAAACCTCCCAATTATTCCTTGTGCCCTGTGAAATCTATCTATCCACTTAAATGCAAGTCACCACCTGCAACAGCAGATCCCAGCCTTCCTCCCACATGGTCAGAGCCCAAAGATACACACACCCTAGAACATGGCAGTAACACATTTACTTGTTAAATCAACCACAATGTACCTGTTAATTGCACTTGCTTCTTGAGATGAGAATTTGAATTTCTCAATAAAGAAAACCCTAAAGAAAAGAAAAACAATTTAGAAAAGTGTACACTTGTACGACATGAAAGAAAAATTAAGCTAGACAAAGTAAAGACACAAGAACCTAGTTTACAGGAAATTTTTAAATATAGCTATATAGCTTTGACTTAAACACCCCATCAGAGATCCTCATTTATAATGTATTTAGGAGCTTATTATCAGACTCCACAAATTTTGGCCTAAGGACTATTCATATTACACCGTGGGGGAAACATCCAAAGTACATAACCAACATGTAACCCAATCAGGAGCCATTAGCAATGAGCATACTGTAAGAGACCAAAGTGAGAATTTTTAGAATACATGCACAAGCAAAAAATAGGCATCTACATTGCTGACTGTAAGTCATCTCAGACTTTTCCATCTCGCTCAACATAAAACATGCATTGAGCTCAAAAGATCTGTTTCTAATTACAAGTATATTCAAAACCTGACTGAACTACTAGATCAAGTCCTGTGGTTCAAAAGGGAATCCTACATACAAATGTTTCAAGTTTCAACTTGAAGTCAGCACAGCAAGAGAACTCAGTCCGAAGTTATGACTACATTTAAGCCTCCACCTCACACTCACAAATAGCTTATGAGTATGGAAGGAACTCTACATGACAGTTGTCCACAGCTTTCCACACCAAAACTCATGCTATGCTTTAAATCTGTATCAAGTTTTAATCAGGAAATGGAGCATGCATTATGCTTTTGAGTTCTGACAACTCAGCCTATGTTGAGCAATGGTATTTCCCACAAACCTTAGCAGGTAAGGAAACTATAAGAGTTGTGTTTATTTGTATCAAAAGTATAGCGAACAACATCACAGAAGACATGACAAACCACAGCACAGACTTGTCGGGAGCCCAGTGGTTCTGTGGCCATCTGGCATTCTTAAATATTAGCCTGCACCTTTCCCTTTGTAAGTAGCTAGTTAAAACCCTAGCAAAATTCAAGGGGAATAGCTACATAAGTGAGCTACTTACTTTCCAAGTCCAATGAAGGGAAAAACTGCTGCATAGTAACAGACACAGATTACAAATATAAGCCACAAGGACAAAGAGAAGTCCTTCACATCGGTTAGCTTAATCACTTCACCTGGAGTGAGGCAAGAGACAATATTGTTTCAATCAGCATAAGCATATCTGAAATTCATCCACACTAAATAAACATTAAAATAAACATTAAGGTGATCACAAGTCACTACTAAAGCATATATTGCCATCACTCTCCACTCTTGTTTAAAGTTTGCACAGTGAGAGTCCGTTAAGAATATACAAGTGCTGAATCAACAGCGCCAAAGTCAAGAACAAATTGTCTCTCCCACATAAACCTGGATGTAAAAGTTCCCTAAAGCCTCTGAAAATCTTACACAGCAGAATTAAATACAAATCATTTTTTCAAGGAAATGTTTAATCAGCTAGCAAAATTAATGTCTGAAGCCTCAAGTTATATGCTTTTACTTGGATCTCAAGTTTAGTTTATTTTTAATTAGTCTAAAGTCTCAGAAAACTCACACATGCTGATGGAGAAGAGCTGCATGCTTTTGCACACCTATTAAAGGAAATACGGCCAATTCCAACAAAAAGTATCAGTGGCAGTAGCACAGATCAAATTGGCTCTCCACATGCTTTATTTATAAAGCAGATGACAGTGCATCTGCCTGTAAACTGGTGTTTAAAACTGTAAAACTTCCTACTGATACAAAAGTGAACTAAAAATTACAATTAAAGCTGTAACTGTGAAAAAGATGTTAAGCAGCGGCCAGTGAATCACTTAAAATGCAAACCTGCACAGCACACAGAGTAACTGGAAAGGTCTGTTCCAGAATGAACGACTGAAGCCCAAGGCAGGTTCAGCCACACCATCCACACCACTCACCCGTTTTCCCTTGCTCTTTACAAAGGAGTTTCTCTGCTCTCTTGTCCAGATACGCAAGGATTAAGGCACAGGTCAGTGAAAAGAGACATGTTATACCACCTGCAAAAAGGCAATGCAACATGTTTAGTCATTGACTCAAGTAGCAATTTGGCCTTTAAGTGCAACTAGTGTACTGTACCTTCACATATCTAATAAAAAATTAGTTTAACACCAGCTTGTCTTATACTATAAGACTCAACAGCTGTACAACTGAAAGAATAAGGTGTAAATACTGAAGCCTGCCAGATGAGAGACATCTGCCTTGAACTGGAGTACAAACATGTAGCTACATTTATTTTATTTAAAACATTACCACCACTCCCACTCAGCACAGCCAAGCTTATTATCTGTACCTTGTAATAACAGAAACAAAGCCTGGGCCTTGTTACCAACACCAGGGCCTTAACACCCACGGCTCTGAAGGAAAGGAACACAGATCCAAAGGTAGCTGAAATTTCATTTTTACACATCAGACAACTACACACAAGCTTTGACACGATACCCTTCAGAAAATTTTTCAAGTCCATCCTTTACTCAAAGCATGTTACATGTTTCGTCTCTGCAAGATATAAACTTGAATTTGGCAACCACAAAAGCCACACAGCATTTTATCAGATGCAGGAATCATATGCTCTGCATAAGAATATTACAGCATTTGAATTGCTCTTCTTAGTCTCAAATATATTTGTCCTACTTTCAAGTTAGTAAGAAGCCGTTAACACATATACATGCTGTTCAAATTCAGAAGCCCAAAATACCAGGTGACATCAATTCAATAATATTACTGACCTATCATGAGAGTTAACCCAAGAGTACTGGGACCAGTATACCCCAGAAGATCTCGAACTCTAGAGTATATCCATCCCATGATATTCATGTTCACTGTGCTCCCCTAGGCAGAACACACTTATGTGAAGAGTAATGTATTTCACAACCATATGAATTCAAAAGGAGCATTAGGCAGATTATTTTAAATACTGTTCAATAAGGAAAGAGGTAAGATGCTACACAGGGAACATAAACCACTAGCAACAATGATAAAACTATTCCCTGCTGGTTTAGTCAACATTTGTAACAAATTAATCATTGCAACAATAACATACCATCACAAACTGAAAATTTATACAGCTCTAACAGTGTTTCAACGGAGACACTGAAGTGCCACAAAATCCACATCACACACTGCATTAGCTCATAAACCGAGTTGAATTTAATACCACATGTTAAAGCGAACAGGATTCCCACCTGACAGGCACCAGGAAGAAGTACTTTTTTTTCCCCACCCCTTGTTCTGCCCGTGGAGAAGGGATCCAGGGCTGCAATCCCAAGGCTAACAACAGCCAGTTAACTACAGCTCAGCTGAGATGAGGCTACTGCTAATTAGCAACAGCCTGAGCATCAATCCAGACCCAGCTGTGACCACCTAACTCTCTTCTACCAAGGTAAATCCCTGCAGTGGTTTAAGACAGCAGAGGCTGCTGACGAGGACCCCCAACAGAAGAGGCCTGTCTCCGTTCTCTTCATTCACAGCCTGGTGTATTAGTGCAAACCCACCTCTAGCAGCAGTTTAAGTGATTATATCAAACTGAAACGGCACAGCTGAGATGCAGTCACTCAGTTCCTATCAGAACCAGCAACAGGGACAAAAATATCCTACAATAGCAGATCAGGATGGGAGTTTCTTAAAGCAGCCATCCCAACTCTTTTATCAGAGCCTGCACTTAGTCTCTACACTCAGTTAAGCCAACATTTTGTGATAGGCCAAGAATCAATTAGCCTGACGAAATGCAGCACTGACTGCCCTGCCCAGAAATCTACACTAGTAACACCACCAGACTTCTTTAGAAGTTTGACAGGTTCTAAGAAATCTTATTAATACATTTCCTGGTGTATCCTTTGTCTATCTACCACAAATTTTTAGCATTTTAAAGTTAAATTTCACATCCATTTTTAACTAAGACTCCCCAGGGAGCATTAGAAACACTGTTTTCCACCTGTCTCACTGTCAAGAGAAGCCACACACCTTAAAGCCTATGAATTAAAGGTATACAGTTCTATACTTACAATTCTGGCCATACTGAGTTGTAATCCAAAGACAAGGTTTAACTCTTTGCCTTTAAACCAACTGACTGCATATGTGTTTTGTGCCACCGCTAAGGACTCTCCACCTATTCTAAAAAAGAAAGAAGGCACAAAAGAAAAGATGTTAATTGTAACACACAAAGCAACAAGGAAGCAGTCCATCAGTTGCTGGCAATACCAAGATAACAGTATTTCAGAGAAATTTATCTGTGCACAGGTAAATCTCATGCATATACACAAAGCAACAGAAGTCTTAAAGACAATTCAAAAAGAGAATTGCAGTGCCTTAAGAATAATAAAGAGTACAAAGTATCTTAATTAGTCTAGGAGCCATTGTAATTGCCTTTGGTCATTTACAGAAATGAAATTAGTGGACAGCAGCTTCTCACGTCTCTTCTGCATCACAGAACCAAGTAGTATAGATCCTGACCCAAATGAAACCAAAAGCAGGCATCTTACCTGGAATAAGAATTTAATGGAGTCATCTGCCCACCTCCCAATACAGTTGGTCAGATTTTCTAACATTTTTATGCTGTGGCACATTCACAACTTGGAGGTATTTCTTATGACATTTGCTCTCATTTTTTGCCACTGTAGGAGCCCTGTTGTACTTGTTGCTAAGAACTCTTTTCCCTCAGGAAAGTAAGAATTAAGAGAAAAGAAGGACTAACACAGTTTTATTAGCTTACTGAATGTCTTTATTTGGGTAGTTTCATAATTTCTGAATTCAGTAAAACCTGCAAAGTCCTATTTTTTGCTTTCTAACTTTAAGTTAGACGTGACTGAAGGTGCAAGATGCATGCCTCAACTTTATAGATGCCTCAAAATCCAACAATTTTTGTCTCCAAGTGTAAACACAGTAGCAGTTTTCTAGAACCCACAAAGACGGTCCTTACCTCAGACAGCACAAACTATACTCTGCTAGACTTACCCAAATATGAACCTGCCCACGTCCATCAGCCAGAAAGTATTAAGTAGTGCTCCCAAAGCAAAAATTACCTGCCAAATAAACATTTAAGAAAAAAATTATCATTTTATATCTCAGGTATGGAACAAACTAGAACCATCTCAAAACAGAAACAAAACTGCTTTTCCCTTCCCAGACCTGCAGAAATACTTAACACCCACTTCCTACTCCTAGCTTTTTACCTTTGCTGCCTCTGCCTTATTCATCATCCTGTTAGCTACACAATACCCAACCCCACCCACCCTGAAACCAGACCCAGAAAACACCTTTAGAGGCTCAAGTCACACTTCACATTTATCACCATCCCCTACCCAAATACACCTACATAGCTGTTTCACATCAAATGGATGAAATATTTGGTTCCTTCACATTCTTATTTCACTCATCTTTCAAGGTCCTCTGTTCCAAGTTACCCCATCTGTTCCCAACTACCCAATAAAATTCAGGGTTCTCCCATTTCAATTCTCTTCACCTGCCTACCCCCACCTGAAATACACACTACGATGCAAGAACCTATTTGTGCTTTTTTCCCCACCCCCAGTAAAGACGTTTCAGACACATATCATCCTTCCTGCTCTCGTTTGCACTTACCTGCCCAACACAAACAAAGATACTAAATATTATAGTGCCCAATCTGTAAGAAAAACAAAATCACTTAATGCATAGCTAGAAACTTTTTTCCTCTAAAACACTATATTTGGCCTACAGCAAGGAAACAAGGGGAGGTTGATAGGCAATAAGAGGCCTCTGTAATAAACGTTACAGCTTGATTGCTTCCTTTCAAAAAGGTAATACAGCCTGGCATTTTTTAAGCTACTTTATTTAAGCCATAAAGGGAAGGAAGTTCATTTATACCAATGGAAATTCCTAGGTCATGTGAAAAAAAAATTTGAAAAAGCTTATAATATAAAGTTCTTTCAAATTATAATGAAGTCTTCTATTATATGGTATGCTACACATGCACCTGAAGTCCACCATCTGCTGACACGAGTGACACTAACATCACACTTACCGTATTCCAAAAACTCTGTCTATCAGAAAACCACCAAAGAAGCAAAGAACCACGTTGGGCCAGGAATACCAGGCGTACAGTGCCATGAACTGAGCCGTGTTCACCTTCATATCCTACATAAAGGAGAGGGGGAATTTAAAATAAGTAATTACAGTGGCATAGAATAAGCATCCTAGCAGAACTTCTTAGAAACAGTTACACTCGCTGACCTGGCCACTGCC